AAATGAATGAATGAATAAATAAAATAAAATAAAGAACTTAAAAAAAAAAAACCACTGGTGGAAAACACTGGGGAAACTCTGGGAGACATTGGGGTAGGCAAAGACTTCTTAAGCAAGACCCCCCAAAGCACAAGCAATAATCCCCCAAGTATACATGTGGGATTACATCAGATTAAGGAGTTTCTGCATAGCAAAGGACACTGTAACCAGTGTGAATTGACAACCCTTGGAATGGGAGAGAATTTTTTCTCAGATAAGGGACTGATAACCAGAATACACAGGGAACTCAAGTAGCTTACCTGGAAGAAAATTACTAACCCAATTAAAAGATGGGAAAATGAGCTGAATAACTCTCTAAGAAAGACATATGAACAGCCAAAAAGCATATGAAAAAATGCTCAACATCCCTCATTGTAAGGGAGATGCAGATCAAAATCACAGTGAGATACCACCTAACCCCAGTCAGAATGGTGAAGATTAAAAAACAAACAAATAATGGTAAGTGCTGGAGGGAGTGTGATGAAAGAGGAACACTCCTACACTGATGGTGGGAATGTAAATTGGTCCAGTCATTGCAGAGAGTGATATGGAGGTTCCTCAAAGACCTTCAAATAGAACTACCATATGATCCAGCAATTCCACTCCTGGGTATTTACCCAAAGGACAGGAGAGCACTCAGTCAGAAAAGTGCTTGCACAACTATTTTCATTGCATCATTATTCATGATTGCTAAGACATGAAACCAACCCAAATGTCCACAAACAGATGAATGGATTAAAAAATTGTGGCACATATGCTCCATGGAATACTATTCAGCCATAAAAACCCAATAAGGCCCTGGAATTTGACAGGAAGTGAACAATTATGAAAGATTTGTTGCTGAGTGAAGCAAGTCAGGCTATGAAAGAGAGACATTGTTATGTCTCCACATAATGTATACTGACTCTCTGAACTCTATGGTAGAGACTGAAAGACTGGAGAACATAAAAGTATTAAAAATTGTAATGGACACTAGAGACAAAGTGGAAGGAGAATGTGGGAGGGGAAGAAGTTAGGAAAGGAAACTGGGGGGGAGGAGGAATGGAGAGGTAAGACACTTGTGGGACCCAGATAAGGTTTATTATCTGTTGACGAGGGTGTGTATGGTTGTCTCAACTGGGCTGGACTGAGGTTTATATCATGCTGGGTAAAGTCTCTTCACAATCTAAATGATGTATAGCAATTTAATGTATGAATAATAATGATAATAATAATAATAATAATAATAATAATGAAACATTAAGTGAAAGAAGCCAGACACAAAAGGCTACACATTATATGATTCTATTTATATTAAATGTCCAGAATAGGCAAGTGCAAACAGACAGAAAGTTGCCAAGTGGTTGCTAGGGAATAGAGAAAATGGGAAGTGAGTGCTAATTGGCACCAAGTTTCTTCTGGGAATAATAAAAAGGTAAAAATATTCTGGGACTAGATACAGGTAATAATTGTACAACTTTTTGATATACTAAAACCCACAGAGGTTTTTTTTTTAATTCATGAGAGAGAATAACTATGCATGCATCATGTGTCAGAGACACAGAGAAAGAATAAGAAGCACCCTTGATAAAGTCTCCTCACACTGCCATCCCCTTCCCCTAGCCTTCTAGCTCAACAGGATCAGGGTGCTTTCTCCTTCTCCCACTATCCTTCTCTTTGTCGTCTATCTCCCTTTCTGGTGAGTGCACACACTCTCCAGCTTATAAACAACAATTAAGTAAATAGATAAATAAAAGTCTACTGTAGAAAGAAACAGTCAGAGAAGAAGAAAGAGAGCACTTTCTGAAAGTAAAACTGTAATCGCAAAAGTTTAAAATTCAGTCAAAGGGTAAAAAAAAAGTAGGCTGAGAAAAGCCAGTAGAATACAGGAAAATAAAGACAAAAGATACTAAATAGAACAGGATGAGAAAAATTAAATATCAACCCAGGAGGTCACTACACAACCAAGAATAGAAACGGAATAAGAAAACAAAAAACATTGAGTGGAGGAAATTTCATCGACAGCAAAAATCCTTGTCCTAGTATAAAGGACTTGTCCCAGATTATCAAGTTTCAAGAGTACCAAGCATAATGACTGGCAAAAGTCTTGCACTGTGACACAGTGATGAGATTCCAGAACACTGGCAATACATATAAAAACCTCAATTCAGCTAGAGTAAGATTTCTGTCTCAGGACTTTTGGCATTTGGGGGTCAGGTAAATTTTCGTAGGAAGGCTCCCAGGTTTTATGAAATATTTAGTAACATTCCTGCCAGTACCACCATGTTCTTCATTTATGTTGATTAAAATATTTCTAGATGTTCCTGGGTGGCAAAACTTTCCCTCATTGAGGACCAGGAATATGGAGGGGAAAGGAGGTTCTCAGAAAAGAATGGGTAAACAAAATGTTAAAGAATGTCTCAACAGCGATTGGAGTTTAGAAGATGATGAAGAAATGCCTTCAAAATGCTAGTGGCAAATAATTTCCAACCTATAATTTTACCCCAACAAAATCTTCAAATAAACATTTTTAAAAAGAATTATTTATTTAATTTTTGTTATTATTATTATTTTAATTTACTATAAGGTGCACGTGTGTTCACCAGAGAGAGGTCCAGGATTCAAATCGTAGTCTGCTATGTGGGAGTCCAGTGCCTTAACCACCATACCACCTGCTGGCCCAGACGTTTGGTTTTTGATATATAAAATTTTCAGATATTTAAGCTCTCAATGAATATACTAAGGCATATTCCTCAAGAACTCTTTTAAAAGAGGTAAATCGAATAAGAAGATATATGGTTCAAAATACAAACTCAAACATGAGAGGGAAATAAAGGAATTCCCAGGGCGATGGGTAAAGCAATTTGCCCGCTGTGCAGTAGGTCTAGGAGCAAATACTGTGCAATTGTATAGGACTTTGGATAGCTCCAGGGTGGCCCCAAAAGGACAAAATGGAACTATTAGATTTTTTTGGTAAGTTTAACCATAAATTTAGAGGCTTTAGAAAGTTGAAAGATAACTTTAAAATATATACATATAAAGGTAAGCAAAATGAAAAAGAAGACAATTGTTCACTTAAAGAAGTGTTTCTTCTTTCATATTTTTGAGGTTCATGTGTAAGCAATATGTACACAATAATAATTATATTAACACTATTTAAACAGAATTAGCACTGCTAGAAAGAGGATAAAGTAGAGAAAATGTGCAAATGCATTTGTGTGTGTGCTGCTTAGAAAGGAAGTAAATGGATAATATATAAAACTGAAATGTAAGAAAAGGATTTTTTTTTTGAGAGATTTTTGCTATAGGGCGCTTGCGCTTGCCAGAACGACAGAGACAGGGAGACAGAAAGCGAGAAATCACCTTCCAGAAGGGATGGCCACGCTGCAATCCCTTCTCCATTCTCCTCCCGGGATCTTGGGCACGCATGCACATATGCCTGGCATGAGTTTAAGCCACCGGGTCTGGAACTTGAACTGCAGTTGACTACATGGGGGTCCAGTGACATAGCCATTACAACTGCTGGTCCCAAGAAAAGGAATTTTTAAGTGTGGCATTTAGAAATATGAAAGTAAATATAGAGAACTAGTTAAAAGCATCAAAAGTGGTTACCTCTGGGCAGTCAGACTTGAATAAAATTGGAAAATATCTGCGTAGCACTACATGAATTTAAATTTTTAAAAATATAAGTGTCTAAACAATTTTGGGAAATTATTTTTTAGAATACATTATGAATATTAGCACTGACAGGTAACAGTATAACACAAAAAGTAATAACATGAGGACATATGAAAAATAAGAATGATTATTTGCTCCCTTTTTTTTTTTGAGAGGTTTTTCACTATAGGGTGCGTGCACTCGCCAGACAGAGAGAGACATAGAGACATAGAAAAATCACCACCCAAGGGGGATGGTCACGTTGCAATTCCTTCTCCTCCATTCTCCTCTCGGGATCTTGGGCAGGCACGCACACGCATGAGTTCTAAGCCACCAGGTCGGGGACGTGAACAGTGGTCGACTACGTGGGAATCCAGCGACATAGCCATTACGCTAACTGCTGGTTCCCATTATTTGCTCACTTTTAAGCAAGCATTTAAGTTATGCAAATATTCCGATATGCATCTTGGGATTTTTTAAAAAAGAATTATTTAACTTTATTTATTTATTTGTTTGTTTGTTTTAATTTGACCAGAGAAGGACAGAATGAGAGAGAGAGAGAGAGAGAAAGAGAGAGAGAGAGAGAGAAAGAGAGAGAGAGAAAGTGAGGAAACAAGCCACCAGGTCTGGGATTCAAACCTCAGTTGGCCATATGGGAGTACAGCGCCCTTAACCACCATGCCACCTGCCATCCCCATACTCTCGTTTTTTTTTTTTAACTTAATAAGGATAATTTATTTAAACTCAAGCAAACTTTATAGTTTTAATATTCAATCTCATAGTTTTAATTAGAACCTACTAATTAGTTATATATAATTTTCATCTAATTTTATATGTATTCACAGAGATATTTTAGAATGAGGTTGACTTAATGTTAATTAAATTGTTTTTGAATGGCAAAATAATGATGTTAATTTGTTTCCTTTGTTGTATTTACTGTGTTTGACACATCTAGCTATATTGTTTAAAAAGAATTAGAATCAGGGCCAGCAGGTGGCGTGGTGGCTAAGGCTCTAGACTCATGTGGCCAACCAGTGTGAGTCCCAGACCTGGGGCGTGCTTTCTCTTTTTGTCTCTCTAGTGAGTGCACATGCGCTGTTAGAAATTTTTTAAAAAGTAAATAAAATAATGATTAAAGAATTAGAATAATTATTTATACACCAAAGCCATTTATTATAAAAGAAGTAAGCACAAACCTAACAAATTTCTGCATTATATTTTTATGTAACTGCTTGAACTTTTATAATAATAGCAAGTGATCTAAGGAAATGTTATCAATTTAGAAAGAAAATACTCAACTTAGAAAAAGCATCATAGATAAAATATTAGCTAGTTTGAGGAAAGACAGAGTGTTTTTGAAAAAAACACAACAAAATTGCAACCATTTACAAGATGAAACATTTGCATAAACAAAATTATTTTGAAAATGAATGGCATTATTTACCACAGTTAGATTAATGAAAATGAAAATCAGAAAGTTTGGAGTACAATTCTCTTAACCATAACCAAATATCAATGAACAAGCCCAAGTAACAGTAACCTGAAAACATCTGTGACTTCCAAAAATCTAGCTAAAAAACTAAAAAACGAGAGAAAAAAAAAGCAACCCTAAACAACACAATTTGTCAGCCATTGTGGGTACATGCAATGTTAAAGTTGGCCAACAACTACAAACAGGGAATCTAATTAATATGACAATAATTACTAATGTGTGCATACGTAAGTTCTTTATGTGAATGAAAGGGTTGAGGGTTTGTAGATAGAGCAGAGAATATGGTTTATCACGTTGTCAAAGTTAGATTCCTAATTCAATCCGAAATGATTCCCAAGGTTGGCGTTTGCCTCGTGGTCCCTACTGGGCCCTTCATCCAAAAAGTTGGGCAGTATTGGTTTAAGAAACTTAAACTCGCTCCTCTCAGAGCTTCCAGCTAGGTAAACTTCATACTGATAATTTTGAGAAAGGGTCCCAGTACCGCTGACGTCCAGCAGGTGGCCCGGGAAGGGGCCCTCGGGCACCGAGCAGCCCCCCAGCGAGGCCGCCCTGGCCCTCCTGCACAGCCGCGCCGCCACGCACAGCAGCACACACAGCAGGAAGAGCGACGACACCGCCGCCAGCGCGATGACCAGGTAGACGGTGAGCGAGTCGGCCTGCGCCTGCGCCGGGGCGGCCTCGGGCAGCGCCCAGGAGTGCTGGGAACAGGCG